TTTCCCTGGAACTGGCCATACCAATTTCATCATTGTAATCGGTTGTAGTTTCCAATATCTTGTTACATGTAGTGGGACCACCCATGTTAACCCAGGTCTTTTTTCATGATCACAAAACATATTCCACAATTGTGAGAGACTTGCATACTCTCACTAAGCTTTTACAAAAGGCAGCTGGGATTTAATATCCTGTAACAATAATAGCTGATGTCACTACTGGCAAATGAAACCTACTATTGAGAAATGGTGCCTGTTTGAAACTGGGCACATCTGACAGGAGCAGCTGCATACAGAAGCTGTTCCTTTATTTATTGGCAAATAAAAATACTTAGTGTAGCAGGACAGTTCAATTTGCCTGTTAGAAGACTTACCAAAATTAGGGTTCTTATTCATGCTGTTTGAATGTAATATCTTATATTTATGTTGTAAATGAAAGTCAGTTTTCATTTCTGTCTTTTTCTCAGCTAAAGAAATGGTCTATTTCAACTTTCCCAGGAGAAGTTGCAAAGTAAGATAGTATTTCTGAAAGCCCAGCCAAGTGATCCTATAATCTTTTTAAAGTATTTTATTTGAAAAACCATGTTAAGGCAATATTTTTGTCCCATTCACTGCTTACAAAATAAGTATGCAAATTTTCAAATTCTCCCAAAATCTTCATTAGGCAAGATAGCAAACAATTTCATTTGCAGTGAGAGATGAAGAGAAGTGAGGGAAAAATATTGACTTAAAGCTATGAAGCTTGTATGTAGTCCCAGTCTTAAGGGAAATTATTGAAGGAGATGGTAGACATACAAATTCTGTTCAGCTTGGTGGTATAATGGTTATGTTGCACCGAGGAGTCTCCCAGCCACAACTGGCATGAAGAAATAAACAAGCAATGACTGATTTCCCCCATCTTCTAAAAAAAAAAAAAAAAAATCCAATTATTATTCAAAACTGCCTCCTTTACCAAAGTTAAAAAAAATCTAAAATGATTGACTACAACAAACCATAATAAACTTAAAGTAGATTTTCCTTAAAAATGGAACATTTCTAGTATGTTTTATAACTTTCCATTAGTGAAATACATTACCTCCCTATTGTTGCTTATAACAGATATAGAATGCATCATGCTCTGTCTTAAGTACTTAGAATCAGGAAGCTCCAAAACATTGTTTTAGTACAATGATGTCCTTCCTTAATAAAAATGACTTTGAATTAATTAAAAAGAATATTAATTCAAATTGACTGTGGGATTCTTTCACAGATTAATTCCTGCCTTGCTGTGAAGGCAGTATATCCCCAGAAGTAAAGCAAGCAACATAATGATATTCCTAAACCAATGGTGACACCACTTACACAATCATTCTGTTTATAGCTGGTTAATTAGAGAACTAGCTGAATCTTATTTTTGAGAGGAAAAAAAGACAGGTGCAAATTGGCTAACACCTATAGTATCTTCAGGAGTATTCATTAATAAGATGAATGTGCAAAACAATTCCATAATGTGATATATAACTATTAACATCTCTTGCTTATTCAGCAGTTCATTGAATGAGTTATAGCAGATTAAAAAACTCTCAGGGGATCAAATTCACAAAAAAGTAGTTAAAGACTATTTCAGCTACTATTTTCTACCTTGTGCTTATGTTTGTTTATGTATTTTAAAATGTTTTTATCTCACTTTTCTATTTTGTAGTTCAAGGTAGCAAGCAAAAGTAAACAAAAAGTTCCTTTAGAAGAAGACTCATCTGGTGGGATTGTATCCAGTACACAACCATTGCAAAAGAAGGGGGTAGGCCCAAGCAGATTCAGGGAAATGTTAACCATTGCAGAAATATGATCTTTAATGGGCAAGGTATGAGGTCGGAGGGGGACTGAATAAACTTGTAATCTGCCCCTCTTCCCTTATCCCTCTTAACATTCTATAATTCCAGGCTGTATAGACATTTTAATTCTGAAATTATGTTTTTTACATTATGGAAAATATAACTAGGGCTTTCCTATTATGTTGTCAAGCAATCCCCAGTTCTGTTATTATTATAACATCTATTCTGGGGAAGCTTGCTAACTGTTAAGGCTATATGAATTTGGCAAGGTCTGATTTAAATCATCAGTCTAAATGTGTCAAATCATTAATTTGAATTGGTTTGCACCATTGAATTCTTTTGAATCAAATCAGTTTGCTTCAGAGGTTCAATTTGATTCAGTAGAAGTATGTATGCAAAATTCCATTGAATGACTAAATAATTCAAAGACAACTGATTCACTTCAATATGGAGTTCAAGAAGTGATTTGGTCAATCTTTGAATCAAAGCTTCATTTAGCATTAATTTTGGTTGGCAATAGCATGTCTGTTTATTTTGATTATCCCTCCCACTAGCAGTTCGCCCTACCTGCCTTTGCATGAGGAACTCTGAGACTGGTTGTTGCTGTAACAAAATATCAGATAGCAAAATTATACAAAATTGATTTCATTATCGGACTACAATTTGTAGCTTAACTATACAGCAAGACTGCTGTTTCTGATTGACACCAGCAAACCTCACAAGAACTGTACCATATTCACATACATGCAAATAAATGTTGCAAAAAATCATGATCTACCAAGATCGTTTTTTCTTACAGAAATTGGGTTGCTAAACTTACGTGAATTTTTGGATTGTGATAAAGTGAATTCCTCTTCTACTTCCTCACCAGGCTTGGACTTAATATATGTTAACTGAACTACACAGGGTTCACCTTTTTCCAGCTGATAAACTCTTTATGCATTGTGTCTGTGTTAAAAGACCAGCGTGACTGATCTGAGATATTTATTTTTAACCACCACTTGTGTGTCAAGGCCAAATTGAATGACACATGAAAAAATATACTAACCAAGTCAGCCTGAAGCATCAGCCTGAAGCCTGAGTAAAACAGTGAAAAGTCATCAGAAGCAACCTGCAGTGTTCTGCTTACCACTAGGTGAAAGCTGTGATCCAGTGATCTGGTTTCTTACACATTTAAAGTTTGAGAATAGGTTGAGATTGTTTCAGCCCCAAGACCTCTAATCATTCACTTGACTGGAGAAAGCTGCAGCAGCCTTGTGTCTGCAAGTGCTAGCTATGCAGAGGAACCAGCTACTAGTTGATTCAATTAGTCTTTCACCCCTATATCCAGGCCAAATAGCCAATTTGTACATCAGGACCATTATCTTCCCCAGAATTTTCTCTGGCTTCCCCCTACCCAGATATAATTCACCAACTTTCAGGTTCTAGCACTCACACTAGACCTCCCCAATGTGGCAGGTGAGACAGATCAGAGGCCTCAGCATCCCACCTTGGCTGGTACACATCAGCCCTCACCTTCATTGCACCACGAAGCTTTTGGTTCCAGCCCTGCTTCACTCATCAGCCTCAGTGAAACTAGAGATACCAGGGAAGACCTCATAATTTTCACATGGACAAGAATTGAAGACTCATTAAAGCTCATCTCAGTAGAGAAGGGAGCTTTATAAGCCACCCAATTATTTTCTCCATAGATTTAAAATTGAGCAGGAGTCCTCAAGTTCCCAGTATACTTAGTGTTCTATACTGAAAATAATGGAGTGATGTGTCCAATTATATTTAATAGGAAGGAATTAGAATCCTGCAAGAGTAAACTGATGGAATAAAATTTACCATGTGCAAGAGAACCTTGTGGGGGGAGTGGGTTTCTCCCCTCAATTTTTGGACAGTCAACAATTGCAGAGGAATCTCTTCATCCCTTCATAAAGAAAAACCTCCTCAATCCTATGCATTCATATTTGCTTTCAGTTACTATTTGTCAGAAAAAAGGCTTAGATCACATGGACTGGAGGTAGAAAAGGAGGAGACTTTCTGGCCCCTTGACTTGGGTCTTAAAATTACCCAACATAATAGATAGGCATAAAAATTAAGTTAATCTCACATGAGCA